AATACATATTAATCTGAATTTGCAAAGATTTTACAAAGACAACTTGCAAGAAAAATGAGAAGCTCTTTTTGAAAGTCAATGGATTGAATATTAAAGCAAAATAGCATCATAGCAGACAGAAATACTTGCTCAAGGTGTTAAGCTATTTTATTCATAATAGACAGTATGGACATGAGTATATTTAATATATTTAAAAAATCAGATACTTGAATATGTGCACAAAGAACAAGTGCAATAAGGCAATCAGAAACTCTAAAAATAAAAAAATTATAGAAATAAAACCTCACATGATGGGTTTAATATTGGATAAAGAGAATTAGTGAACTTTAAGCCATGCTTGAAGAAATAATCTAGAATGTAGTTGGATAAAGAAAAAAGATAGAATAACTAATAAAAAAATTACAAGACATGAAAGAGAATTAGAAAGCCTAACTCTTGGATAGACAAGAAAAAAAACCTCATCAATCTACTTCCAAAATTAATTAGTGAAAATCTACGGAACCCAACAGAACATTATCTGGTTTGCTTTTTGGACATGTCATCAGGAGAGAATAATTGTTGGCAGAGAATAATATGTTTATTGAAGTCGAGCTCTAACAAGGATAAAGGAGACTTTTCATGAGATAATTTAGCACAATGACTGCACTGATAGTCTTTACATACATTTTAGTCACCTCAATGCAAAGCAAGTTAGGTAAAAAACAAATGTACATGTACACACATCACAGTGGAAAAAATTGAATACAAAGAAAATGTATTAAAAAGCATCCAGAAAGAAAAGGGAGTTTAAAGGAGCAATAATTAAAATTGAAATGAGCTTCTTAGCAACATTGGAAATTAAAAGGGAGTAGAGTGACATCTTTGAGATGATAATAGATGATTAGATGACAACTTCATCCTATAAACTATGAAAATATTTTTTAAGAATAGGATTAAAAATCAGGCCAAATATGTGTTTTGTTGTTGTTGTAATTCAAGCAGAATGATCCCATGTAGAAGGTTTAAAGTGTAAATAAGAATGAAAAGCAAATAAATCAATAAGTATGTTCATAAATAAATATTGATGCCACAGAACCATAACTCTCATGATAGATTTCAGCACACCTTACTCAGCAAAGCATAGACCAAATAGAAAAAGATATTCAATAAAGATATAGAATTTTAGTGAGATATAATTGCAAAATTTGATCTACACCAAACATTCTTCCTCTGACTACTGTAGAATATAAATGGTTAGAAGCAAATACAAATCATTTGAGAAAATTGATGTTCTATTGTCTAGCAAGCAAAGCCTAACAAAGTTCTAACTTTGGTTTATAATTTAGTCACTGCAATGTGATTGTTAAAAATTATATAAAATTAGGGAAAGCTTATAATTGATAATCGATGATTTATTACTAAATTATTCAGAAATCAGTTAGTATGGAAATTTAAAATACAATTGAAATATAATGTAAATATTATTTATCAAATCTTGCAGATTTCAGAGAAGTTGAACTTAGTAATTGTGATCTACATGCATGTAAAACGAGGAAGAGCAAAAATTAATAATCTATCATAGATTGGAAAGTGCACCAAATAATCCAAAAGCAAGGGAGTCAGCATTGTCTCTTTGGAATGGCTAAAAATGGACATTTCTGGTGAAACAACTAGAAAAAGGAATAAACATGGAATAAGGACATTGTTCCAGAGTCTGGCAGCATACAAGAACTAGTAAGAGGATACTTTTAACAAGTTCATGCCAATACATTAAAAAATTTAGTAAAATGTACAAACTTCTGGTACAATGTAACAGAATCTTTTGCTACCCGGCACACAGTAAAGAAGGCGATCTGATGGCACAGTGGCTAAGCACTGGGTAGCCGACTGAGAGGAGGGCTCTACAGGAAAAGAAGACCTGGCCAACTGCTCCCATGAAGACTGCAGCCTAGGTTACCCATCCTCAAAGGGATGGATTGACCCAGTGACTGTAACAAGGGCCTCAAACATAACAATGGTGAGCATGGTGTAGAAGCAGACAGGGTTTCATTCTGTTATCCAGGGAGTCCCCAGGAGTCTGAGCTGACTCAACAGCACCTACCAGCAACGAACTCTGTGGGGCAATCTACTCTCAGTAAACATCTTTCAGATAAGAAAACTAATGGCCCGAATGATGTTTTTACCAGAAAGTTGTACAAAGATTTCAAAAAGATCATTCCAATTCTGCACAAGATTTTCTAGTGTATAGCAAATTTAGCAATTTACAACTTAGTTTGTGGGGCTTTTATACCCTTACTACCAAAATTTGACAAGGATTGAGTAATATAAGAATATTGTTGCCAATATCTCTGTAAGCATAGATTAGAAATATTTTAAACATCAGGACTAAATTGAATTTATTCCAGAAATGCAAGGGTGGTTTAATATTAGAGAATGAAGTAATGCAATTCATCATATCAAGAGATTAAAGAAGAAACAAATATAATGATCTCTATGGATACATGTAGAAGATTTGATAAGACTAAACATCCATTTATGATTTTTAAAAATTAGAACGGTAGACACATAAGGGAAATTCTTTAACCTTCTAAAGCATATCTTAAAATCAGTTTCAATAAATTATATCTGTAAGGGTAAAATATTAAAAGCATTATTCTAAAAATCAAAACAAGAATTAAAAGCCACTAGCTTACTTCCACTTAGTCAATGCTGACTCACAGTGATCCCCTTGTGGGTCTCCAAGACTGTACTTGGTTATGGGAGTAGAAAACCCAGTCTTTCTCCTGTAGAGCTGCTGGTGGTTTTGAACTGCCACCCATGAGGATGGTAGCCCAACGTGTACCCACTCCAACAACAGCTAAAACTCCCTGTCTTATGTTATATTAAGTTTTGCCTTAAAGTTTCTAACCAGAGTAATGAAAGAAGAAAAGCATCAAATTTTAAAAAGCCGCTTTGGTGAAATATAACTTACATATACAATATGTATTAATTTTAAGTGTATAGTTGAAAAATTTTTTACTAGATTTTATACCACCACTGTCATGATAGAAATAATTTTCTTCACTCCAAAGTGTTGCCTGTGACTCCTTTCAGGCAACGCTTTCTCCTGGCCTGTTGCCTTAAGAACCACTGATCTGTTTTCTGTCACTACATTTTCAAAATAAAGGAAACCATACATATGCACTCTTTTCTGTCTGCTTCCCCCCCACTTAATGGAACCTTATAGTTGTGCTCATCAGTTCCTTTTAAGGGTTGAGAAATATTCTATTGTATGTACATAGCACAATATGTTCACCCATTGGCCTATGGATGGGCATTCAGACTCTCTATTTTTCATTATTATTAATAAAATCTATTAGCATTCATGTGTAAATCATTGTTTAGACTCACATTCATTTTCTCATATAGCTACTTGGGAGTGGAAAGGCTAGGTTGTATAGCAAGTTAAGGAGCTCTGTGGGCTCAGTGGTTAAGCACTCCACTGCTAATCAAAAAGTCAGTAGTTTGAACCCACTAGCTACTTCCTTGGGAAAGAGATGTGTCATTCAACTTCCATAAAGTCTACAATCTTTGGGATTGATCGACTTGATGATAATGGGTTTGGCTTTGAATGCTAAGTGTGGAGCCTAAGTTATGCAAGTAAGTACACAATTCTCCACTACTGGAAATGTCAATTCAAGTCCACTCTTTTTTGCCGTAGAAGCAAGCCCCAGCAATTTATGTGCCAGTAATCACAGCCATTAAAAATCGGACAGTGGGGTCCTCAAACTTTTTAAACAGGGGGCCAGTTCACTGTCCCTCAGACCCGTTGGAGGGCCAGACTATAGTTTAATAAAAAACTATGAACAAATTCCTATCCACACTGCAATATCTTATTTTGAAGTGAAAAAACAAGTGGGGCAAAAACACCCGGCGGGCCAGATAAATGTCCTCGGCGGGCCACATGTGGCCCATGGGCCGTAGTTTGAGGATGCCTGTGAGATATGACAAAATAATAATTTATAAATTATTAAGGGTTCATGAGGGAGGTGGGAGCAGGGAGGGAGGGGGAAAATGAGGGACTGATGCCAGGGGCTTATGTGGAGAACAAATGTTTTGAGAATGATGAGAGCAGTGAATGTACAAATGTGCTTTATGCAATTGATGTATGTATAGATTGAGATAAGAGTTGTATGAGCCCCCAATAAAATGATTAAAAAACAAACAAACAAACAAAAAATCCTATGGAGGTTAATTCTACTCTGACACCCATGGGGCCACCTTCCAGGAGTTGAAACCAACTCAAGAACCATAGATTTGATGCCAACTGTTTTTAGTTTGGGGTGTGTGTAGGGTGGGATGGTGTATGTGCATGTGCATGTTTTATGGTTCAATGGACTCAATGATAACTATTCTGTTGTTGTTTTTGTTGTTTTATGGTACATGTACATGTTACTGTAAAATAAATTGTCAAATTATCTTCCACAGTGGTTATACAATTTTCCCTTTTTTTAAGGCTAACTACAAATTTATATCGATTAAATCCTTACATAAACTAGTTACACCAACAATGGGAGTTGGTCAGGCAAAACTTACAATAATATTCACTGACAATTTCAGACCCAGGTCTGCTAGAATAATACCTATCTGAATAAAGGAGGAGGGCATTGAAGTGGCGAGTAAATGTTAGTCTGCCCACCAACAATTCAATACTCGGTATAACTATCTTCTGCTTCTTCACACACCATGTCGTTTCAGACTTAAGTCCTCGGGCTGCGAGGATGTTGGAGGTAGAAGCAGCTCATCTAGTGGGGTTTCTGCATTCCGTCCCCCTGGTGTGGCCTTTGGAGTATGCTGATGATCTTTCCATATCAGCAAGGTGGTTACCCCTGTGTGACCTCTGACAAATGTGTAAACCTCTTTGTCCCCCAGCTCCTACTCTAAGCATTGCCCCCAAAGCCCAAGAGCCAAGGCAAATGCCATCAGGAATGCCTTCAATCTATAAACAGCAAAGACGGCATCATCTGGACCTTTTGAAAATAGCTATTTAAAAAAAAACTAACATTGTACTACTTTTAAAAAGCCTTATTTTTATATAATTAACAACTATATTATTCACCTGGTTGTTCTAATTTACATTGTTATAAAAAACTACGAGAGCTTCAATTTTTGAGCATAAGAAAGGAAGAAATGATATTTTTATTTCCTTCAGAAGATCAAATTATTTTTGCACAAAACCAAAAGAAACTTCAGAACAATTATTAGAATTAACTGATATTCCTGATAATCTGAGTGTCTGAATAAAAAATCCAAATGAATATACAGAAAATCATTAGAATCAATGAGAATTTAGCATAGAAAAGAACTAATGTTTAAAATCAAGTTAATGCATACATTCCAGCAATCAAATATCTAGAAATATTAATTAAAAATACAACTAAAAATTGTACTTAGGAATAAATTTGACGCAAAATAAGAAACGTTCAGAAGGAGTCATAAACCTCAAGTAAAATGTCAAGTAACTACATAACTGGAGAGATAGACTATGTTTATAGACTGGAAGATTTAATACTTTTTAAACATTAACTATTACCAAGTCAATACAGATAGAAAAGAGATTTATGAAAGGTAGAAATAATTTTATTATAAAACATGACTTTGTTTACATGTTATCTTTGTATATAAAATTAGTAAATAAGATAGTAAAAAAAAGTTTAAAAATATCTCCACTAAGCCCAGCATATAACTGAGTAATAATATAATATGATGGTTTCATATTAAACACCTAGTTCTAAAATGTGGGAGACTGAGAGAAAAATGGAATAGTGCCAGCAAGAGTTCCCTGCATTTTGCCTATTACTCTGCATCTGGGCCAGCTACCCAAATCATTCCAGCTGAGAGCTCCAGTGTTTGTAGTCTTGTAATATGGTGAGAAGGGGTTGGAGGAGCTAACTGCATGGTTTCTTTCTTTCTGCAAAACCTGCCCGAAAAGTTTCCCTTGAAAACAGAGTGCTCACTCATGGTGATATCATTGAGTCATCTGCAATGATTTTCCTTGTAAAACTTGGGTGACCCCTGAGGGCCACGTTCTGGGAAATCAGTCAAAAGCACAATACTTGCTCCAAAAGAAACCCAGAAGACGGGGCCAGAAACGAAGAGGTGGGAGGAATGCAGTCATATTAGAACAGATTGCAAGTCATGCCACAAAACAAGATGGGCCTACACTGTGGCACGGGAAATGAATTTATCTAGTAAACTTTCACCCACACCATAAAAAAAGAATCCATAAAAAATACTCAAAGTTCTTACATCAGACTCTCTGGGGCTAGCAAGCAGACATGAGCATTTGTTTTAACTCCCCATGAGAGTGTGACTTATCCACCTGAAGAATTGGTAATATGGATTGCTGGATTCCATTCCCAGGAACTCTAAGATAGCAGGCCAGGGAAGAAGACTGAGCATTTGCATTTCTAATAAGTTCCCAGGAGATGCGGATGTTGCTTATCCAGAGAGCACATTCTGAGAAAAGTGAGTTGTTTGTGTTGTTTTGCTTTTGCTAGAGCATAAGCCAATAGAAGGGTTGGCTATAGTTTTATCCATTCCGAAGCAAAACCATACTCCACACCTATGTATTTTTTGACCAATCCAATGGTGTACACATTCTAGGTGCAAGCGAATACATCTCTTGAAGGATCTCCACAACCTTTGCCAGTCTCTAAGAAGAATCATATTTCCAGCTAAGAAATTCCTCCTTTATTTCTATTGTTACTTGCTGTCCAACTCATGGCAGCCCAGAACTGCTTCCTGGCTGTAATCACCATGGAAGCAGTTTTTAGGCCTTTCCTGTGTGGCGTTATTGGGTGGGTTTCAACTGCCAACCTCTAGCATCTCACTAACTACTTGGACCACCCAAGCCAACCCACTGTCCACTGAGTTGACTCCAACTCAGATTGACCCCATAGGTCAGGAAAGAACTGCTCACAACTATAAAGCTGTGTTTTGTAAAGTGGCTAGTAGGTTTGAACCATCAACCTTGTGGTTAGTGGCCCAATGCTCAATCCACTACACCACCACTAGGGCTTGTCTGGTTCACTCAGGCTCCTTAAACTTATTTCCAGTAGTGCAAAAATAATTAAGCTGAGAAAAGTTTTCTTTAGTTTTGGAAAATAATCACACTCAGGGAATTAGGTGACAATTTTAAGAGGTTGTTCGATTCTTTGAGCTATCACTATCCCATTTTGGAGATGAATTACTTTTTTAAGTCAGATAGTCTTCGGTCATAGAATGAGAAGTAGAATTTGAGTTTCTCAATGATATCATAGCTAAGTAAAGTTGACGAAAAAATCCAGAGTGTTTCTGTTGGCATCGCTATTTGTCCTGTTGACTTCTGCTGACCAACGTCAGCTCCCAAAAGACCCAGAAAACATTTCTCCTGGGATC